AATCAGAAAGAAAAACAGGTCCCAGACAAACGAAGACAGCCAGAATGTCAGTACCTCAACTCCGGACACAATCTGCAAATGCTTTGCTTTGCTTACACGCTCCTTAACATAGAAAATAATGAAAAATGCTGAAACAAAAGCCATACTGAACCCCAAACTGAATGCCACTTGGAAACCCATACTGTTGGATGCCCATGACTGGAAGCCAATCTGGAAGAAGAGAATCAATACAGTGCTTTCAAACTCAAACCTAAATTCTTGGAAACAAATCAATCAAAAAATTATTACGTTTCTGAAACAATTTATAGACAATGCACTTCATAAAATTCTGCTATTATCATAAGAAACTCAAAGGAAATTATCTAAGGTAGTCAAATTAAGCACTATATATTCCTGGCCAAAGAATTACAGTAATTTATATATATTCATGTTCAACATATTTGTATTTGGAGAAGATTGTCATAAAACTAGCAAGAACAATTTTGAAAAATAATGTTTTCAAATCGTGTACTGTTTTTTAACATAAATTTGTTCTAATTATCAGCTCTATTCAAATATGAAATACCTTTTCTAGTCATATTAACTGTCTTATTTGTAATGATAAAATTTAAATTATCATGCATCAAGTAATTCATAGGAAATAGTGAACTGAGCTGAGAATGGGGGAAAAAAACACCCTTTATGATGGGCATGGACTAGAATTCAGACCACTTTGGAAGCAATCAAAATGGCTCTAGGGTCTCCAATGCTTCACAGATCTGATCTAATATGAGTCAACTGAACACAAATACACAAAAACTTTGCCAGACATCATGGAAGGAAATTATTAAATCTCTATGAGAATGTACATACATACTGCAATATGAAATATGCTGTTTTTTTAAATACTAGAGATTGCAATATGTCACTTCCTTTTCCTCATTTTCATTTGAGCATGGTTCAGTATGTTGATTCGACTGTGCCAGTGATAATTAAATAACATGAATTAAAGCTATTTGACTACATGTAACATACACAAAGAAGGTTAATTACCACAGTGTCCTCAGTGTATGGCAGAGGATAATTGACCACACTAATGGTAGTGTTGTGAGTGAAGACTTTGAGAAGAGCATTGTAGATCATTCCAACTGCAAGAGGAATGCTGTGGTATGGCAAGTTGTTGAACCAACCTATGATGGTTGGTGCTGTTTCATTACCACTAAATGTTGCTCCCACAATGTAATTCTGCCTCACTACTTGTAGATCAATTTTTGACTGAAATGAAGGGAATAAATTATTCATAATAGAAAGAATTCTACTCTGGCTGAAATACCGAAGTTCAGTACCCTGAGGACGAGGATGAAGATGGTTCTTGAAATGCTGGTGTTTTTCCATTCAACCACCTGACATGGCTGGGAGCCCGAGAAGAATTCCTTATACTTAGTTGCCGTGAAAGTTTCAGATCATATTCTTAATATAATTACAGCAGCAGTTATCAAAGCAAGGTATCTGTGTCCTGTCTATTTATTTATTTGATTATATGTTTATTTATGGTTCACTTAACAACACTGACAACAGCTCAGACTATATAATGATTCATAAATAATGAATTGCAAAGGATACGGAATAAAGGGGGGCATGGCCCAATATAAGGTACTATCCTGGTTTATGCCTGGAAAGATTGAGAAAACCACAAAAAATCTCAAACAGGATAGCCAGTCTCCTAGTTTGTAATAACATATCCATCAGATGCCATTCCACATTTCTATCTTTGTTTCAGCCCATGGAAAGAAAATGTTGCTTGATGCAGAGCATTGGCTCTAGAAATACTTTCTAAGCATTTACATTAATTGCAACTATTAAATTAAAATGTAATATGAGATTTGCTCTTTTCATGGCGGTGAGAGTTCAGATTGTGGCCTCCTGGATTATAACACTCCTCTGTCACCATGGGGTTACAAACATTTCAGAAGAACATATTGACTTAGTCTCACATGAAGCTGCTTGTCAATTGTGTTCAAAAATATTTTTAAAAAATACTTCCTTTCCTTGAAGAATTTAACCTGAAAAATTCCTAATTAACTGACCCATAAATACCAAAATATGGTAAAGTTTGAAAGTTTAACATAAAATAAAATCATATTAAAGAATCAGACAAATGTTATATAGGAATAACAATAGGATTCCTCTGAAATATCAACAATATAATGTTAAACAACCATTGTTGAGATCAAGAAAGAGGAGGACAGACTAGGCAAGGGAAGAAAACGGAAGGAAAGTCCAGAGTGCTTATAGAACAGAGATGAATCTCTGGAAAACTTTGTCATAAGATAACTGGCAAAAATTCAGTAAATATTAATAAAAATTATATTATTGAAGAATGGGTAAGAGGTTAACATGTTCAAACAAAAACACAGTAACTTACCTGTCTCAGTATGTAGTCAGACATTGTCTCATTCAGTATAATGCCATCTGTAAGATCTTTGTATACTAGAGCAATATCATTTAGGTGTTTATTTTTCACTTCTATTGGTGTGAATGTTTGGCCATAGGCCTGAAACAATTTAAACACAAATTAAATAATAAACATATGTAATAGAGTATCCAACATTTAATACTACATGAAATGATGATTATATGAGGCAAGTATCTCCATTAAATGCATAATGAATATAATTTAAATACAATATCTTATATTTCCAAGCTATCATTTAAATTATTTTTCAGTATTCAATATTAGTGCTTTGCTGTTCAAGCCAATCATATCTTAAAACCTCTTGAATATGAGAAAGCAAAAACTGTATGAAGAGGCAGAATAAATTATGATTTAAATAATATATCTGAAGTCACTACAAATATGTTACTGAAACAATGCAATTCTCACCAAAGTGCATGCGTGCGCACACACATCACTGTCAACCAAAGAATAAGAAACTAACATTAGGGAATCTTTATGTTTTGATCATATAAGAATTATAATTGAATTTGAACCTTACCTTCAAGTCAATGTTAAGTGGAGGAAGGTCTGGAATTGTCTCCCATGTCTTGACTATAATGATTGTCAGTATTAAGAAGAATGCTGGCATCAGAATTTGAATCAATGTTATATACCATGTTCGCCATACATATAATACTTTCTTCATGAACATAGCAGTTAACTGATTCATCAATAATGCACTTCCTTTTAGAAGTGGATAATGTGGCATAGTCACTGAAATATTACAAAACAATTCAGAAATTAATGTGCCATAAGAGTAACAGTACATTTCATGGCAATCTGTAGCCTCAATCACAACACACACTTTATTACGAAACAGAAACATGCTTTTATATATGACATACCTTTCCATTCAGTATAAATGGGTCATTAATGATGCAATGTATTTGGATAGTGAAATAAATTGCAGGGGTAATATACAATGAGCAAGATTTCTACCAGAATGATGATAGGGTCCTTCCTTCACATTTTGTAACTACAAAATATGAAAATTCATCATTTTGTTCACAAAAGCAGCAAGACATAAGACACTGCCCAGAACTAGTTCAATACAGTTCACATTATGATACCTATTTTTTTAACATACATTTTGTTCCATCTATTTGGGGTTATTCAACCAAAATATTACAGACATGATCACTACACACCCATTCATGCTACATGTCTAGCCTACCTACCATTCACATTCTAATCACCCTAACAATATTAGTCAGGGCATCTCTTTATACAGTTTTTGTGCTGCAACTGGAACAAGCAATACTGCTTCTAAAAAAACAGTTATTTCATGTTAACTGGACATGTGACTTCTATTTTCATAAAAACCGTAAACAAATTCCGTGGACAAAATCACATTGATTGGAACGTCAGAAAAATAAATTAAAATAACACACATATTTGTTTTTAATTTTTTTTTGCATGAATCAATAAAAATATTACTTATCAACATTTTAATGACATTCACATGCTGAGAAATAGTGTATGGAGAAATAACAACACACTACATCTTTATGTCTACTGTTACCTCCTTTCTGATTATAAACAAGTCTTGTACTTTCATTCTGAAACAATTAAATCCTTCATTCAAACTATTATAACATAATTAAAACAATAGCTTGAGTTTTCTTACAGTTTATTTACAAAGTTTACTTTGGAAACAGGTAATTCAACAAGCTGAAATTAACATGAAGAGGACCGTGGCATTATTATTTGGACAGGAAGGGAATCCCAATGAAACAAGATGCATGCAATAAAGAGTATATGCTAATAATGAACACTGTTGCAGGATGCTGGGAAATACATGCAGTGCCTTGTCATGCATTATCATCAATTGTAATGGTCACAGTGAGAGTGTTCTCTAAGCATACGCTGCCTAATCTAATGCAATTTAATGCATTACCCTACTGCAACAAACAATTTCCCCCCCTCTAATGTCATGTATTATTTATGAATCAACCCACTTAACAAATAATACCAACAACAGATAATTCTAGCAACAAAGTTTTATTATAAAATCACAAGAATGTGGAAAAACAACCTTCAGTTGCTTTTTTCCTCTCAGTTGCCTGCAATTTTGAAGTCTTGCTTTCAGGAAATGAATCCGTCTTGATGTTAAAAATGAAGAAATATGTCTTTTGTTGCAATGACATCCCTGTTTAGATATTAAAACAACAAAGTTTACAAAATAAGTTGCCCAATTTCTATCCCTCAAAACTAAAATTACCTCCCTTACCCTTTTTGATATAGTAAATATCAGCTATAAACACATCTAACAGTTAAGGAGACATGTTTCTTATTGACACATTCTGACCACATTCATCTATAAGTCTAGGTTAGTCTTGGTTCCTTAATCCACATGGTTTGTAATTTTTAACAGTTCTGAAAGTCTGTCTTTGTGTGTTCTGTCAACACGATTAATCCAATTGGTTTTATATTTAAAAATGTTGTCCAATATACTTTGATTTTCTAATTATTTTAATAAGTTTCTATTTCTTTTATAGTCCATCCAAGTGTACTTTGCTGTTGTTCTCATAAATTTCATTTCAGTAACCATAATTCTAATTTTCCTTCAATGTTCAGTTTTCACTCCTACATAAAAATATGTTGTTAAAGCTACAGTATTATACATTTGTATTATAGGATGTTCCTGGACTTTTTAATTTTTGAAAGTTGTATTGGTAAAGCTTCTAAGTCATATATGCTTAGAAATTTTTGCTTCTGTACCTATTTCTTTATATGGAATCAAGCATTCAAGGTACATGAAAGCATTAACTTCTTGAATTGTTTCATTTCTTATGGGTTATTGCCTGCAAAATGTCACTGTCTTATTTTTCTGCTGAAATTGAAATTATATACATAAATACATTAATTTCAGGATTTGGTTTAGTTTTAGCCAGAACACATGTAATCCTGCAATCACAAGAATTGTCTGAGTAAGATTAACTGTCACTTATTTTTTCATCATACACTGGACAGTTAAACTCTAATATGTCTGACTTTTCTACGCAGCTTCTAAAACTGTGGAACACTTAGTGGAAGTAAGTGCACAAAAAAGTGATGATGGTGCAATTTAAGTGAAAGTGTTCTGAAAATGAACAAGTCACCTATGGAACTGCTAGTATTCCTTGGGCTGATGGTATAAAGACGAACACTATGTGCCACAAAACCTGAAAACACAGTGCATATTCAATTGGAAACTAAAATGATACAGGCCTACACACTGAAAACAGTAACAAAAAAGATCAGTTAAACAAAAATAACAAGAGACAGGTATAAAGAACTTCTAATGGAAAATATAACATGTGGAATGATTACTTTTGCTTTTGTGAAAATATTCGGTTGAGTGGGACAGAGTGCAAGATTTGTGTCACATGCATTCCCAAATTTACAATTATTACACAGTACCAAATCATTGGTAATCACAGGTAGTTACCCATTAAATCCACATTGCATATGGGAGACATGAGGAAATTATTCTGCAACTGTGAAATCTTGGTCACAAGTGAATTAAGGAACTAAGTAATTGTTAAAACTGGACTGTCACAAACAATTTCAACATCACAAACAATTTCAATGTTTCAACTGCTTGTCTTCCAAAATTATACTTGTGATACTGTGAAATGGAAATATGAATGCTATGGAAAAGTCTGTACAAAAAATGATGACATCACTGCCAGTTTTTATTTACTTAATTGTTTATGATTTTTTTAAATATGTGGTCAGCATCTCAGATAATGTACCACTGAATGATAGAATTATTAATGAAGTGGAAATGTCTTAGGAGAGAAAGGCAATCTTTACAAAATTAAATTCACATTTTTCTCAAGTTACATAGTAAATCAGTACCACACATGGCACACTATAAAATTCCAGTAAGATTTTTATGAAAGAAAATACATACCACTTTACTTTGCTGAAACCCATATTAAATAAAGGTAATATAGACTGAAATGGGTTAAGAAACTACTTACAAGAAAATGAACTCCCTCTGCAAAACTCAATGATGAATATTTCTCATAATACAGGCATAATGCATAATATATTAGAGTGAACATCACAGTTTAAGATAGAAATACATATTTTACATAATACACATTTTACAATATATAGTTCATAGAATACTTATTCTAAACATTAATTCAAGATAACTGCATAAAATGTGTAATATAAATCACCATAAAATACCCTCCCATAAAACTGATTCTGGAAATATGCCACATATACGAAAATAGCCAACTAAACACAATGGTTCTGTCATCTGTTAGAAATGTAGATTTAAGTGATACTTTTTTCATGCATATATGGTCATTAATTAAAATACATAAAATAAAACAGTGGTGGGCAGAGAAAATAGGTTACTTCATATAAGAGAAATGGTTAACAGTTATATTCATTTATGTTTCATTACAGTAATAACAATTTTAACAGAAAAAGTGTAATTTACTAGCCTACAACCAATCAACTAACATTTTATAATTGACAATATTGATAAATACACATCTCATTCATGGCTGCAAGGTTCTTGTTCTACGTCAATGAATGGTAGCTGGAGTAGGAACTGAAATTTGGGACAGCAAACCTAATATTTTGGTCACCACAAACCACTGTAGAAACATCATCCTTAAGTCCAAGTTATTATTGTTATTAATGTAACTGAACACAATTTACTTACATTTTGTTTCATTTGGCAAGATGGAGCTATCATCTATTTCAAAGGAACTTGTATAAACTGCATTGTTAATGCCATTGACCTGTTGATGTTCATCAGAAGCAGTAATTTCCATGTCTCTGCCAACTCTAAAAAAAAAATATATATATATATAAAAATATATACTGAAACAAACTATCAAAGATGACTGTCTTCTTGGATGTTGCACTGTATAATATGATAGGTTACTGATGTTTCAGATGCAGTAAGCACCTCTGAAACATTGGTAAACTTCTACCAGAGTACACAGCACAACACCCCAGAAGATGGTCATTTTCATATTTCTTATAGTGAAAACTTGAAATCTCTCTAAGTAATTCTTTGTCCAAAACGGAGTAAAAACCACACATTCAAGAAAACAATAAAATAAAATAAGTACATACAAGAAAAATTATAAGATTACAATAACCAAATTTATATGGATCTATGTATCTGACCACAAAAATCTGTACATAAAAAAACTTTATAACTGAAATTCACTGTACTGTGATAGTAAAGGGGAGAGAGGGGGAGAGAGAGAGAGAGAGAGAGAGGGGGGAGAGAGAGAGAGAGAGAGAGAGCGCGAGAGAGAGAGAGAGAGACACCCAGCACATGCTAACTTACTTCATGAAAACTTCTTCCATAGTTGTCAGGGACACTCCATAACTGAGCAAACCTAGTCTGGTCTTATTTTCTTCAAGTTTAGACAACATTGCTTCAAACACTGATGACTTATCTTCATTCAGAAGGTAGGAAAGTTCTGACCCTATATTCTGATCAACACTGAGATCTGGAATAAATTCGTGTAGTAGTCGTGTTACAGACTCCACATTGCAATTTGGGCCCTTCACAATAATCAAACGGTAGCCAGCACCTGTATGTACAAAGTTAAAAATTAATTACCATAATTCAAATTAAAAGTTGACAACACAATACATATAAATTTTGTCTCAATTATGGTATGCCGTAATAAGATATTGACAATACTGTATAGATAAAAATATTTCAGAGTCCTTGCTATGCCCTAATGACAAAAGCATCAAGGACCTCTAAAATGTCAATAAAGTTCTACCAAAACTACATACTACTGCAACCCAGAAGACTACTACCTTCATATCTGAGTTGATTTCTTGTTCTTAAAAAATGAACTTGCCATATTTCTTTTTTAGGAAGAATGACGACCCACAACACTGAAGTTCCCCACCAGCCATGATAGCAATACGGTCACCAAGCAGATCTGCTTCATCCATGAAGTGTGTTGTAAGAAGTGTTGTACGGCCATGCTTCTCTGCCTGAAGAATGTCCCACAGTGCTCGTCTTGCAGCTGGATCTAATCCAGATGTTGGCTCATCAAACATCACAATCTGTCAAAGTAATAATGACAGAGAGTACAGGGAGTGGTAAGTAAATGATATTCTGAAAATGTCCCAATAAGACTGAACATAATATATGTAAAGACAAGTGACAATTGTGAATAAAATTTGTCAGTGAAAAATAACATTTATTTTAAGCTATACTGCAGACATAAAAAAAGTATATATTTGTCTCATGGTTTCAAATTCCAGTAATAACTTACAGTGAGTTCATAATTTATTGACTTACTTTGGAGCCACCACAAAGGGCCACTCCAGCAGCCAATTTCCTTTGCATGCCTCCTGATAATGTGTAGCACTCTGAATTTTCCTTTGGATTCAGTTCTAGCAGTGAAATGTATTTCTTTATCTCTGCTTTCAGTGCAGCACCTGTCAGCCCTTTCAACTGGAAAAAAATAGCATTCAAACTAGATAAACAAATCTGAACCAAATGGTATATGTGCATCAAGCAAAGAAACATTAACATTCAACACGGTCTCTAGTTCCTGGATACCATGATGTGAAAGTGTGTATACGAAGTGTAGTTAAAAAAAGTTTCTCACACTTTTAACCTTAGATCATGATGGAGATGAGTGGTCAACAGCACACACGCCTGCTGTACTCTCAAGAAACAAAGCTACAGTACCTACTGGTTAGGACCCATTGCCAGTTTGGATGAGCTGGTAGAGAGAAGAGTCTCAGTCACTTTACTGGCTAAGCTGTTTGAGTCTATCACATATAAATATTTTTAAACCCATATTTGTAACGTAGCATTAAAAAGATACTTAATTACACACTCCTTTTACTCTGTCAATGAATTTCTATTGTTTACAGATAAATGATAATTTATCTTTGGTATGTAATGGGTAGATTTATTTGTAACTTATCATTACTTTAGGTAAACCCTTTGTTGTATTATGTGGAATTTATATAATAGTATGAATTGTGTTATTATAATGACTCTTTCCACATCCTATTGTCATCTGACTATTTTATGGATCCATGGAATGTAATAGAGATGTATGATTTATGTTATGTACGTATAAAATGTTTAATTGTACACTCAATCTCAGAAGTTTCATATGAAATGCTACAGTGATACTGGGTATGCCAGAAAAGCGAGAAATATCCAAGGCAATGTAATAGATTATATAGCAATGCAGCACTCAAAACCATTTACCTTTCCAAAGAAATACAGATGTTCTTTTACTGTAAGGTCTTCAAACAGGACATTATGCTGTGGACACAAACCCAAACTTTCTCGAACCTTATGAATATCAGTTCTAACATCGAAACCTCCGACCACAGCAGTTCCGCTTGTTGGTGTAATCATGCCTTCGTTAACAAGAAAAGATAATTATATGTTAATCATTTTAAGATTTTCTAAATTATGTTCAGATTACTAAGTTTATAAATATACAACATTCTTTGGTCTTTAAGATGGCTTTCACCTAAACTTACTGTTTTAAAATCTAAACAGCTTCAGAATGTAAACACTGCCAATTTATTACATAAGGAGAAGTAGGATAAGGTCAAAATATGAGAAGAGGACAGTACAGAAAAAGAGTATTTATCTGATTAAGAACCATGATAAACTAAATATGCAAAATGTATACTATTTTAGAAATTTTTAAGAAAATCACACATGCCAATTTGGGATAGAAGTTTAAAACAGTGCATGAATTATGAAATAAAATACAAAAATAAAATGTATTAGATATGGATTCAGAAAAATCATACCTGTCAACATGGACATTGTTGTAGTTTTTCCTGCTCCATTATGACCCAGCAGCACTGTAATATGGCCCTCATACATGTTCATAGTTAGATCCTGCACAGCTATCTTATTGTTGTATTTCTGAAAAGAAAATGTGGTTTACCAAATTTTGCTGACAATAGAACTCTGTTGAGATTTCAAAAACAGTAATTCTTCATTTTACAGAAGGAATTTTCTCCCAGAAATATATTTGTTTAGAAAAATATGCTAAAGATGAACTTTTCTGAAAAAGCAGAGTCCTCCTTAAGAGTTCTCAATTTTTATTACAATATTTTACTGTCTACTACCTAGTCCTCAAAATTCAATTCCTTGTATCATCAAATTTGAATAGCATACATAGTTTCTAAATTACCTTCCTCAGATGTTTAATTTGTATTCCAGCAGGTAGATTTCTAGGTTCAGCCTCATAGACATCGGAATTGTCAACATCAGCTCTCTTTCCAACAGTATCAAAGAATGGTTTGTAATCAGAATTTTCACACCAGTAAGAAAGCTGAAAAATGAAAAAAACATAAGCAGAAACAAACTACAATAATCATAATTCCAAACTGGTGAGACAACTTGATAACCATACCATACACTATACTAATTTTAGCTTTCAGACAAACATACCTGGAAAGGAAAGTACCATGGTCTAGGCACTCCATATTCACCAGGAAAAACAGCTTCAATATAAAGAGTTAAAAGAAGATACAGGAGTGCATCCACCAGCAACATGACTATTACATGACCTAATACGAGGTCATCATCTGGTGTTACTGGAGTCCAGATATTATGCCACTGCATGCCAACTCCTGCAGAACATGAAATGTATTTTAAATACTGGCAAATTATGAGGATACTATAGTGTCTGCTCTACTTCTGTGAGGTCTGTCCAATAATTTTGTATCTACTGGTCCAATGACTGTTACAATATTACAAGTTCTTTGCTCAAAATTACATATATTGGAGGTTATGTCTGTCCACCTATCTATGTTTTTCACCTCTAAAACTAACTGAATGAACTGCAATAAAATTTAGTATGGGGAGAGGAGATTTTACATTTAAGATTATTTATGAAAATTAAAATAAGTTAAAATCAAACTATCAGTTTTATCAAAGATGTCACATCATATATAAGATTATTACATGATAAAATACAGATGTCAGTGAGATCACACCTTTTGTTAAATATATCTCACAATATGATTAGCATCTAATGAAATCAGAGGAAGAAGAATAGACATAATATTATAGTCCAATGTGAGAAAACAAGCAGGAAATTTAGCTTTGTATGGATCCCACTTTTAAAATTGAAAGATTAGACAACACAGACCATTCTTAATGCTGAGTACAGCATAGTTATTGGTGCATTAAAGGGATAAATGTTAGTATGAATAGCATTTACAGTTAATATCAGTCATTAAATATTTATTTTTCTGTCACCATAGACAAGTATTAAGGAGGAGACAGTGTGAAGTATAGCTAAATGCTTCTCTTTCCGCTGAAAAAATTTGCAACTCCACACAATGACAATAAAATCATTAATTTAAAACTTTGAAAAACAAACCTCTGATATATTAAGTAAATGTCTTAACATGAAACTTCCTTCCAATAGTGAAGCAGAGAATATAAAAAGCTGCTTACCAGCTCCTTCATACATTAGAAACAGCTGAAATCCAAATGCCATGGCACTGTTGGAAAGCAGGCATGCTGAAATTTTGCTTGGCAGAAACAGGTTTTCATACTGCTCTGACATAAACATGAAAGGCACATATGAGAAGAACCACAGCACAGCAGCCATCAGTGATGCTGTATTGGCTGTTTCAAAGCAAGAAAATATATGTTATTATACACAGACTTCAGTAAGTAGTTGACAACTGACTTTTCATTTCATATACAAGAATAATTGATGGATGGTAGCAAACAGGTGCCCTTATGTGCTGTATAGGTATAAACAATGTGTTGTGATGAGACATCATCTACACAGAATAGCTATTTCAGAAGGCTGGACAATATTTTTAACAGTGCACACTTAATATGCATTGTTATTATACTACTAATAATTTCTAAATCAGCGAACCAAATGTCACAGGTAAGTGGTTAGTATGAAAAACAAATGCTACAATGTGGAAGTCTTTTTAGTTGTTTTCAGTGTCAGCAAAAGTAGGAAAGTTATGTATGCAGGTTACAGAACTGTATAAAAGCCTGAAAGGCATTCTTTTTATAAGCAGAATTTCTTATTAAAGAGCCACACCATGCCAAAATGTGGGAATACTTTCAACAACTCATATGATGGCTATTAACTACAGAACCTTGTAGAGCCTACTACATCTGCAAGTGCCAATCAAGTCTTGGGGATTCTAATTTAAAATATGTCCATAAAAATTATTAACAAGGCAAGTGGAAAAGGCCCTTTGAAATTCACTGAGAAACAATGATGATGATGATGGTGGTGGTGGTGACATCAATGACAAAAAATATAACAACAATAATAATAATGAAGATAATAACCACATGCCACTGTGAACAACAACAATAATGGGAATATGAACATAGAGTAAATTACCTTTAGAAAATAAGACAGAGATCATGAAGCAGAAACAGATGCTGGCAGCCATATAAACAATGAAATAGACTAAGAGAAGTACAGGATCACTATAGGAGAATACAGTGAGATTAGTGCCAGGATACCATGGCACTTTCATCAAGAACACAATTAAGATCACTGAAATCATCACAAACATAAATGTCTTGATGAACCAAGCTGTCCAGTGTAACCAATTGGGCAATCCCATTATCTTCATGGCTTCCTGAAAATAAGAAAATGAAACATACGTAAACTATGTAGATGCAGTTTCTCATCATTTCTAAAAATTGAAGTTATTTTCACTTCAAAAACACTACCAAATAAAGTTTATATAAACTAGCACTTAATCAATAAATTGAAGTTTAATTATATAAACAAAACTTTCAGTCACTCCTCCAAAACTCAGAGTTATTTCCCCAAACCACTAGAAACTCAGCATTTCCTTTATTCTTATTACACATGTTCACTCTGATTTACACAAATTAGGTTATGATAATGTTGATGGCAAATATTTCAAATAAATAAGGTTTTATTGTCCTGTGAAATCACCCTTAATCCATTTTCATACTTTGATGGCCATGAGGTATATGACCATTCAGGTTAAGTTACGTGGAAAACAAATTCACTAAATCTGCAAGGAAGCTCCATCATTTTGAGGCCATTACTTTAAAATCTTTTAAATGACTATATCAATACTCCAAATATTGTGCCAGTAGGTTACTTGCCTTGAGCTGGCGTTCCTTCTCTACAGTGATGACCTTTACTGTATTTATACAAGTGTAGACAAAGCTGACCATCATGATCAGTGGTACATTTCTTTTCAGAGCCTCAAGCATATCATCGTGTGTATATGGAGGATATGGGAATCTCTGAAGCATTATTTGAGGTAGACTTATGCTGTTATTTATATACTTGACAATTTCTGAAGAAATAACATGCTGTAATAATAAGAAACCTTCATACCAGTAACCTGTAAAGCAAGCAAAGATTTACTTTTTTATCATATGTTTGTCAGGTTCCAATAAACTGAGAAACAAGTAGTGTGAAAAGGGCCAAAAATCAAAGATGCATACATTAAAAGCTGCTTGTTTAATTCAGTCAATTAGGCCTCTCAAATCCTACAATTAAAGTATCTGAAACATGTAATGTCAGCAAACACTGAACAGCAAAATTTATACTTATATTATGTGCATTCATAAATTTAATAAACTCTTGTAATATTAAAGTCATAATATGTTGTACAAAGAAACTCATCACAAAAGAACATGCCTCTTTATATTGGTCCAATGGCTCTCCTCGGAAATTTGAAGCAGAAGTTGATAAAAATAAATTATACTATTTGTAGGCCTTAAAAATCAAAATCAATTAAACTGATATGGAAATTAACATAAAAATTTACTGTCACAGAATATTTGGTTCCAAACAAAAATGCCTTTGAATTTTGCAGGATACCTCTTTCAACACCTGCTGTAAAATCAGAATTTTTTACAGACAATATTTTAAAACATGGGTGGATCCTCAATTAGCACATCCATTTAAGTGCATTTCCTTCCTACGCAATTACCCACAAGGTGAATGGTATTTTCCAAGTTACAGTACTGATCTGATAAGGAACACCTTGAAATGATCTGCTCTTCATATATAAGAAATTCTACCCCTTCATCACACTGAAAGGGAAATGTTTTCTGTATTTTTAAGTATACTTCATACTTACTGGGGAGCCCTCCTTGATTATACAGACTTGAGCGCGGACCAGGCACTTGATATACTGGAAAGAGGAGATTTGTGCGCCAATCAGTTTCATTCCCCTTAAACCGCAGTTCTCCTGGGAATCTGATTGTCATCTGTAACAAGCACCTTGAACTTTCATTAAATTAATTTGAAACTTCAAACAAGAACAGCAAATAATTCTACCATTAGAGACTAATCTCCTGGATTGCAACACCATGAAGTCATGCATATGTTCTGAAGAAACTGTTCTGTCCAACTTCAGAGTATAAATGAGTACAGCTGGAATGTGAGTTATATAAGAATGATAGAGGAATTTCCTGTTCCAAATTTCCTACCAGTCTAGATGAGGCTCTATATTCACTCCATTGTCCCTGGCTCCCATGGTACAATCTTACTGTTTCTCCACTGCACACAGTGGCTAAGTAGTTAGCATTCCTGTTTCTTATTTGGGAGGTTAAAATCTCAGCCTGGAGATCAGGAAATCTGACACAGCCGTCTTGTGGTTTTTTTCAGTTATTACAGGAAAATGCTAGACAGTAATTTAAATAGATAATAAACACTTTAACATTAATCATATTATCATATGATCTACTGAGGCAATCATTATATAAACCAAAAATACACCAAATAAATTATGGTTTCCCCTAGCTTTATGCTTCCACTATTCTTATATATGAAAAACCTATATCCCAGCTCTACTTACTTGTACTATGAAGACTGAGGCAGAAGTTTCCTCTCAAATGTTGGTAACCACCTACATGACTACAAATCTTCAGAGCCCAGATCACAATTTGAATTTACTATCATGAAAACTTCTTATCTTACACAGTTAAAATACTATTCATTGTACAATATTTCATTATATTAGATGATATGACAATTAATTTATTGTGCTATTTTAAAAATTCAGATTGAATGTTAAAGGTTACTTTTTAAAAAGTGCCAGAGCCTCAACCTTTCTCACCCACTATTCATCCAGCAAGCTGAACATATCCAATTCTGGGAGGTACCCATGAGGCAGATCCTGTTACACTTCAACATGGACTATAATGCAAAGTGAAACAAAAGTATTGAAGATGGTTGTGAAACGTGAACTTCTGCAGATTCTGGAGGAAATGGTCAAGACCTTTGTCACTTTTAATACTAATGTCAAGGGATTTTGGAAACAAATCCAGTATACTTGCCAAAATAATTTCCAAGATTACTTTCACACACACACATTTAAAATTTTGCTTGAGTTTGTCATATTAATGTTTCCATCTATTACATCATTTACTTTACTTTAAATTGCAGAAAACAATATTTAGTACTTTCACTTCAAGTGCTGATATCCTTACCTCGATCATTTCTGAAAATGGATTAGAATCATCAAAAGCAACTCCTGCTAGTACATTTTCCATAACATTTATCGTGCGTGATGTAAGTGCATTGTATAATTCTGCCTCGCTTTTATATGGTTTAGCTGGAAGTAATAAATGGCAAGAATGACACATCTTGTAATTGTAGAAAAAAATTGTCAAAAAATTGGTATTTCATCAATTTGATATAAGAAATATATAGCTCATTCATAAATGATCTTTCAAAGTACTTCCACATACACATTGCATGCCAAATTTAAACTCCATTTTGAGTACATGCATACGTGGACATAAACACATTTTACCATTTCTGTGTGTTCTGGATTAAGATTTCTTAAGATTTTGTTTCTAATATTATCATAATTTCAGCATTTGCAGTGGTCTAAAAAACCAGTTACAACTCTTTTTCCAGTACATGTGAATCTAGAACCTTCTACACATTACATAAGCAAGACAATAAACTTTCATTATGTTCTATATCGTGATTATACTTACAGACAAATGACACATTAACTGCTGCGTCACTTAACTTGAGAGTGACCTCATGCATGATGCTGTTAAAAGGATCTGATTCTGGAGACCAGGCAATAGTCCAGTTTTCTCTAAAAGAAAGAGCAAGTACACAAATGACAATTGTAAAATAAATCTCTTTCTAATAATTTTGACAAATATTACCAATTTGAATGAGTAGGAGCTATATACTCTGTATCAGAGATGCATTATAACAAACACAAAGCTTTTACTTTTAATTTTGATCAGTGGCAAATATCTATTTGAGATGTGAGGTTCTCACAGCAATGAAGATGTCAGCTATAGTATTTGGGTTGTGATACTATATAGTCTTGTAGGTGGAAACCAACATTTCAGAGGAATCTACTGCCTCCATCTTTATGGTAGACTTCTAGAAGACTACATGGTGTCACAACCCAAAAGAGCACAATCAATGGTGAGTGTCTGTTTCCACATCTGTCACTGTGTTATGATAATTTATAAACTTATAAAATGTTATGGAATTTGACACTTCTTTGAAGAGATAATTAGTATATTCTTTTCTCTAAAAACTGACTAATTTCCTCATACTTTTCCAAAAAGGCCTGGAGCCAAATATTGCATTTTAGATACATATGGTGACCTAATGTGTTATGTAAGGAGGAATGAAATAAAATTGGAAGGCTAGCCTACTAAGAAATGTATCCAAGATTATCCAAAAACACATGTTAGATTTGTTGGTTTGTGTAACTTTACAAGGCTAAAATTTGCTCAAAGACATAAAAAATGAGAGTGCAGGTGAGGAAGCAAAAGAAACACACAATGTGATTGCACCCAGCTCTCGCAAACAGAAAACAAACACAGACTTACATCAGGCTAAATATATATTGTGACTTAGGTTCTACTACCCAGGAATAACTGAAGCAAAACAGAATGACCTGTGAGTCACTACTGCAGTGGTCTGTATTGCATCCACTGACTTATCATTTTCTCATAAAATGATGACCAGGAAAACAAAAGAGTAGTCACTTTTGAATGAGATGGTACACTGATCCAATTCCCTTCCAGCTTAAAAAAAACATTTGTATCCAGGTGCTATTCTATTTGGCATCAGTTACATTACCATTATATTCCCCAATACACAAAAACAATATAAATAATTAATAGTCACTTTTGACTGTTAGTGAAACAGATCTTCCAAATGCAAAACTGTGAGCCACAGAATTAAGTCTTTTTGTCAATTCATTTTTATCTTCAAATAATTTTCAATATGTAATTCTTTTTCATTGTATTTTATAAAATTCTACATTTAAAAAAAGAGGATTTTCCCCTACTATTAATATTAGGAATGCAATTATTTTGTTTTCACACAAATAAAAAAAATTCAAATACTGCCTGTCTGTTAGACCTATACCTCCTTTTGGTTAAAGGTCAATGAGCCCTTCACCATGCCATGTTTCAGGGGTGTTTTTAATCCCATGCTCCTTGTTTCTGGCTGGTTTGATTTTATTAAATGAGGTTACCTTAAGTAACTTTATTTCAACTTAACTTGGGAGCAATCAAACCATACTTTTGCTTTTGTGGCTGCATAACATACACAAGAGATACATTTCAATAAAACTTTGTTTATGTCATCATACCAAGCATGAAATATCTTCAACCATTTTCTACAACATGCATAAAAGCTTCATAAGCACATAATAAGCAATTGTGACAAAGGACCATATTAAACTCAACAGTTTTTTACGTATCCCGCATTGCACCCATCAAAACAAACAACAGTTAACATAAAGATTCATCAACAGGGCTCACCTCTCTTCTAGTAAAACTGACAAGAATTTCCTGTCACTTTAGTATCACACCCAAAGTGATTTAAAAATAGTCCTTAATCATTCCCAATATGACAAATCTGAATGACTCTTAATTATAACATTTGTATGCATAAACAGTAATTCTTGGCATATATTTCTCACAATTTGTGTACAAATTTCCTCATTTGGAGATAACATATTTTGAATGCTACTGTTTAAGGATCAGAATAGTAAGTATACAAACACATGCAAGCTTAAATCAATTAAGGCATGTGCAACTTATTCGCAGTAGGCCACACGTTGTGAAGTATTGTGCAGATACTGATTTGTGTGTAATTAATACATTGAATGTTTACATCACATTAAAAACATATGTGTGCCTCTTGTTAATTTTGCTCTGATATGATGATTTTCATGATGTCATTCAATGCTGTGTGCTGTCCAAATGATATCTGGTGCATTTAATACGATATTACATGAAAATGTGAAATTATAGTCATACCTGGACATTCTGCGCTCTATTCCCATTGCAAAATTGAATTTAGATCTGTCAGGACATACGAAAGCACATACCAATCATTTTACAATCAATACCACAAAATTTAAAATATGAAATTTGACAAAATATATTTCTGCCCACTGAGTTACTTGGATTCTCACAAGTGATGCATATTCCACACCCTATTCAAATATTTTATGATGTTATTCTATCTGGATACAAGCAGACATTAATAATAGAAAGGTTAACTGGCAACATATATTTTGAAAAATAGATGTGTCATTTTATTTACATCAGCATGATGATTAGAATGTGAACGTAACTAGGCCAACGCTGTGGGGAATTTCATTACAAAATGTTATTGTTCCACTTGTCATTGCTGCAATGGGACAAAAATATGTTTAAATGGAACTGCAGTTGCTAAAAGGTCTATTGTCCTTCCACCAGATGATACAAAAATGAATATGGGTCAGCAATGGAATGATGTTGACAGCGGAAAACCAAAGAACTCTGAAAAGAAATTTGTTCCAGTCCACCACAAACACCAAGTAACCGGCTAACAATGCATTTTACCCGATTGGTTCTGTATACACTTGAACACATGGGTGGAGCCAAGTTCAGAATCATGTATATTAATTTTACTTTAGACAAAGCGCATTGTCTAAAACAAATGCAACTAACCATTGAAACAAACTTAGAGAACTGCCTGAATTGATTGGCTGTAAAATTTCCATATCCTTCATTTTCTTGATTTATTCCCCTAGTTTGTTACAGAAAATGTTAAATTGTGGGTCTGGACTGAATTTAATTCAATGGCAACAGACATTCTCATTCAGTATACAAAAATTGTGGGCCAAATTTGAAGTTGCACATTCCTGAGAAAGGTCTTTTGTGAAGACAAGCATCCCATATACCGTTTCTTAAAATAGCCAGGCTTTAGTTTTGTAAAACGCATGAGCTGCTTTTTGCGTAGACCATATTTTCTGAAACAAAAACACATCTCAAATCACTTGAACACAAAATACACAGAAGCTTGCACATTAAGCATTGCTATGCTTAAAATGTTATGTTCAAGAGAAATTATAAAATCTGAATAATTGTCAGATACAGAAATTATTGTTTGAAGAACTGGATAGAAATTAGTGAAGAATTTTTACAACTTTGAAAAATTATGTGTAGACTGATTTTATTACAGACAAATCAGGATATATAAAGCTGTGGGGTTTGCTGCTTTGGATCCACTGAGGCTGAACCAAAATTACTTTTAATAGTTAAAATATTTAGGGTTATGTGAAATGAAGTGCATTTATATACCAATTCTTTCAATTTACAAAACAATTGTACAATATTTTCAATTCATTTAATTAGCTTTAACAACCAATAGGAACTTCACTTTTAAGAATTATTAATTCTGTAAAGTTTCACCTACTGAAATACTTAAATCTATTCTGATAGCAGCATATTCCTACTCCTAAGCTTCAGATAAGCAACAGTACCATACATTTCTTTCTGTAAAGAATATGTGTGTAATACAAACATGTACATTTTTAATTTTAAACTAAATTAAAATAAATTAAAAGAAAATGTGCTTTTCCTGAAAAGACATGAAAACATACATACATATATTCTACTTCTGTTATAACCTATAAGAATATGTAAATAACTTAAATAAATTAATTTAAAAAGTACATTATAAATAAAAAAAAGTATTTTCTGTAATAAAAAAATATTATTTTCACTGTGAATAAAAGTGGTACAATGTTCTCAAAGTGTTCAACCAAGAGTCTAATGTTCGAGACATTCTCCACCTCCAAAATTGTGCTTATCAGCACTTTGCCATGTAGCCTTTACTTTGCTGTGTCTATAAAGGAAAAGGGGATTTAGATTGTGTCATTTATAGTCAACAGAAAGATGATGTACACTGGAATTAATATGTTGAGAAAAGGGTAAATTGTCCAGTTTCATTTAATCCTGGATCTCTGAATTTATGCCTACAGGATTCATTAATTTTTGCACAGTCATACTACATTAATGAAAATAGGCAGGAAAACATCATTTGCTCCTTTTTTTTACTAGTAAGTGGATGCAAGATAAAAAAGAAAACTTCCCAGTGTTCCTAATGAGACATAAAACTATTTATGCCTAAAACCAATTAAAGGCAAATTTACACGAACTGAGACTTACATGGCTGCTATTACATAAAAGAAGAATGTAACTGTTCTGAATATTTTCTGTTTTAACATTTTAATGGGTAAAATACAAAGAAGAAATATGACTGCAGAACAGATATGATTGCTGGATCTGAACAAAGAGACAAATCTGCATCAGTCCCATACTTCAAGACCTCATCTTAGAGTTTAACTCGATACTTATTTGGAACTCTCCAATTGCCTTTAGAGTGTTTCTCTTTCGTGGCATGTTTTCAAACGTTAACACATTTAACATGGTCACATCTACAAACTGACCTTGTGTGACGATCCTTCTGCCTGGAATGAAGTGCAAGAAACAAAATCACAATGAAATCAAACAGTTACCTTCAAAATCTTATTGTGACCATTTGTACACACAATTCTTTTAGCAAAATAAGAGTACTGTTTTTCTTGGCAGATTGTTAAATCTAGGAACAATCACAAAAATATACATTTATTATTCACTAATGAGAGAATCTTTTCCCCCACAGTGAAGAAGATATGGCATTTCATTTGTTGAGATTCCACAGTACTGCATAATTCATATGGCTCTTCAGGGCTCTAATTCTTAAAGATGTGTCAAAGTATGCAAGATTATTCATGTCTGGCATGTTACAACTGACTCTGCTATTACCTTTTCTAATCTCTGTATATCTTCTACTTCTGGTGCTAAATTCATGTATTTATTAATTCTACCCATGTGTTTTGAATAAACCTGTTTAAGGGGATTACATCGATGAAACATACCTAATATGAAAACTGTAAAACAAACAACAATATCCAATAAACCAATAAAGTGCTCAAACTGAATGGAAAATACATACCCATTAGCATATGGTGATGCTTTGACAAGTGGCATTATTATCCTCTGAATTTCACTGATGCTGAATAGTGTGCCATTTGTGTCCTCCACTGAGAAAGGCTTGTATGTGGAGACGGTGTCAAAGTTATCAGGTGCCACAAGACTTCGGATCAGGACTAGAAGTGAAGCTAGGAGAACTGGAGCAAGAATCTCCACCGCTGTTTGGATGGGATGTCTTCGCTGGAGCGTCCAGTTCTTCCACATGAGAAGAAGGAACTTCCTCCAGCCCTCTCCCATTTTGGCCATGGAGAACCTGCATGTGGTTGACACAAGTTTAAGTTGAGATCAGAGATTATCATGGCTGTGAAAACGTGTGTTGTGTAGTCTTGTAAGGTATTACCAATGTTTCAGAGGAACATGTTGCCTCCATCTATGGCATTAACTTCATTTCTCCCCTGAAGACAGAAGCAATAATTTCGTCTGAAATGCTGATAAGAACCTACAAGACTACACAGCATCACAACAGATAACACCAGGAATGATATGCTTAGGTTTTCACAGCACTGCACTGTTCATAACCTCACCATTCAGTCACATGAGAAACAGTAAGAAAAATAATATTTAAATTATGACTCCAAAGAACTGAAATCCATGCTCCATGGAGCACTGTAATTTTTAAAAAATTGATAGTCGCTCAGCTGGCCAATAACATATGCATTTTATGGAACGAGTTTCATTACAATGTTCACAAAGGCCCACCACTGAACCCACTCCTGAGTCAGATTTATCCAGTCTAGATTTCCACGTCATATTTCTAAGGCAGACTTCAATACCTATTAGAGCATTCTTTGTACGATGTGCACGAAATAAACGCACAACGGCTAATAAGAATATAAATTACATAGTTATAGCTCTGATGATGGAGGCAGCAAGGACCTCTGAAACGTCGGTAAACTTCTACCAGACTACACGGTGCTAAACCCCAGAAGACTCACCGCCATGAAAACCTGAAATCGTACAGATTAGTATAATATTCATAATATACTTGCTTTAATTAGCTGAAGGAACTTGCAGCGGATTAGGTCACATCATGAGTTCTGTATATATGTCCTACAGAATTACGTCTTGTATCTTTTATTAAATTAATAAGACGTCCCAGATGGCCCCATCCGTTCTGATTCTCGACTAAAATTTTGTATGTCATAACTAACTAACTAGATGGCTTACCGAACCCGAAGGTTGATCACCGAATTAACCAAGGCCCTCCACCGGACCCTGTCCTGGGCCAACAAACTCCAGTCTCCTTCAACTCCTATCTCCCATAGATCCCGCCTGACATTATCCTCCCATCTACGTCTAGATCTCCCCAGCGGTCTCTTCCCCTCAGGCTTCCCAACCAAACTCGACGCACACCTCTTGTCCCATCCATGCGCGCTACATGTCCCGCCCATCTCATTCTTCTCGACTTAATCGCCCTGACAATATTGGGGGAGGAGTACAGATTTTTAAGCTCATAATTATGCAGTTTTTGTATGTCATATGGAGTCAAATTACTACACGGCGCAACAACCCAGAGAACTATCGACACACATCACGAGCTTAATAATTCAAATTGGTAGCCAGCTTTATTTTTAAACATCGTGACTTAGTTACCAGCATCTCAACTGCTACTTTACAGTCAAAATGTTACACGTATACGAATTATTAGTAAGCTTTAGAAAGATAAATTAGACTTAAGTCGAAACAGGCCAGAGGATATAGCCCTTAAACCACAACAAGAGATCTTAATTTACTAAAAAATGTATATATTTCTAAACACCGTGATCGAATTATTAACAAACTAGGACACGAATTATTAAAACGCATTATTTTCAGAGTAATTATTAAATTTTAACTTAAGTGAATAACGATAAATTACTGATTCGACCACTATGGCTGAAAGCAACTTACATATTTCTGGTAGTGACTGAGACACAGGGTAAACAAAGCATACTGCGTTGAATTGCTTTCAAAGTATGTAGTAGGTCTAAAGTAATCAAACAAGTATGTGGGCGGCTTTAAATCAATAACAAATACCTTGTACTTTAAGAAAAACAGTTAATTTCATTATAAAATCATATTATTGTACCATTAATACAAAATTAAGAGACAAAAGAAACCTAATTTCCTTTCTCTTTTCCTTAATTTTATATTAGTTTACCTTAGATTTCTCCCATTCCATTCAATGTCTGCATGTCACCCTATTAATCACGCAACAGACCCGATAGCATGCAGTACGTCGTTAATCAATCAGGAAGGTACTACCTTGACCTTCGTCTCCTTGAACTAGACCTGTAAGTTACTATTCGTGTAATATGGCCGCCTGTAATGATATTTAGTAGCGGTAATGCAGAGAAATGGTTCATAGAATGCCGATATTGAACGAACGCTGAATCTAAAACATGACAAACGTACTGGCGAGTGGATCATAATACGATGCGGTATTTCTGCTCGAAGGCCATTTTGAATCGATGATGGTTGCACCCCGACATATTTGAGACTGCGCAGAACGATGCTGGTTTGTTAGTGCGACTGTCACTGTCGTCTTCGGGATGTTAATAATAATAACAAAACTTTGTGTCATTAATTTAATGAGTGTAAACAAAATATATCAAAAACAGACACGAAGATATTCAATTAGAGTAAGGAGACTGATTTACAAGCAAATATTTGTTCATTTCAAGTCGCTATAACAGAGAACAAAATCATTAGTCCCGAGAAAATGTGACAAAGAAACAATATTTGAAAAAGATAAAGATTAAAATTACGTTCACGAATAAGTTACAAGAAGATTAAATTCGGGGAATGATTACTGTCATTTATTTCATCTTTTATCTTTCCGACGTCTATCTAAAAATTGATTATGTAATTTAACTAGAACATTATCTCTTGTTATACATAGACACGAAACATAAGTCTCTCGTCCTAAAGATCGACCTTACATAGTCTGAGCTACTGAAAAAAGCATCGTTAAATCAATTTTAAATAAATAAAATCGTCCTAAAGAAGGAGGGTGTTTAAAAATCAATAACCAAAGAGAATATTTGTATTTGAGAGAGAGGTCGCAACAGGACGAAGCAGAAATGCAGGCCTACATTATGATGTTCTTCATAATTTTTACTTTTCAGCAAATATTATTAAGATAAAATCAAGGAAGAAGAGATGGACAGGGTATGCAGCATGTATAAGGGAAGTACCCATACATTTTTTGTCGGAAAACCTGAAAGGAAGAGGTCACTTGACAGATGTTATCTCAAGAAATGGGACATAAGTTGTCGACTGGATTTAGCTGGCTCAGAGTAGGAACAAATGGTGAGCTCTTATGAACACGGCGATTAAAGTTTTGAAATAAAAAAGGAGAGGAACTCCTTGATTAACTGAGCGACTAACAGCTTCACAAGAGGTCTTCGCTCCATGGATGTAGATCGTTTCCAGAGGTACAACTGGAAGTAAAATTCTGCATACAAGAACTTTGTGTTCATGCGGCGTTTATACAAAATACGTGCAGCCACGTATTCAAGGGGTAGGTCTTGTTCTCGTGCCACGCCATTTATATTTGTGGTGCACTCAAAGCGTGTTCGCATGTTACATGAATATAGCTGAATCTTCATAAACCGAGTTCCACGAACTTTGGTACTAGGAAGTCTACATTAAAAAGTGTCCTGTGAGTTTCATATATGTATC